GCCCATCATTACCTTCAAAGGAAAAGAGAAATGAAAATGATAGCAAGGTTAGAGAAGAAGATCAAATTGTACGAAGTGATATGAATTTCCTTCTGAAATTTTGCCAAATCCCAATATCTTGCAGGTTTGCATGCTTACGGTGGCATCATACACAACTGATAATTCCTATATTCATAGGAAATTCATATTCAAAGCTTTGAAAACATCTAAAACATTCTTTTTGTTTAGAACCATCATTATATATTCAAATCTCACCCAGGCTCAATTTGAGTTAAGGATGAATCAGGAGAAACATCCAAGGAAGTATTAGGAGAAACCCTGACATTTATTGGAGGGGGCCAATTCCAGCGGAGAATCAATTTTGAAACTCGTTTTTTTCCTCCTACCCAAACTACCTTCCATTTACTCTTCATTTTTCTCTTGCCAAAATCACATGGTTGCAGAAAAAGAAAAACCAAGGTTTATTCTATTAACTCTAAACAAAATGTTTGCAATGGAAAAATGGCACCATTACACCTTCTAATCACAAGGATCAGGATAGATATGAAAAGGAAGAAAAGTTATTAACCCAAGAACCCAAGTAAATAACAGTCATTCCTAGGATAGATAGGGAAGCATCTGGGCCCAAAATGCTGAAATCATTGTGATGGAGTTGAGCTTCTCCTCAAACCAAGAAGTGAGTTTGTCACTGATACATTGAAATAGAAATGGAAAAATTCACCAGATGAGAAATGGCACAGGATGCATCTAAGCAGAGAGCCACTGACCTCTTTCCTTCCTCAGAGCAGGAGAAAGTCAGACCTTTTCCTTCTCCCTCCCAAGAGATGATATCTAGTTGGAGATTTTTTTAATAAGAAATAGCTGATGGCACCTAACTACAAAATGTTTTCCCAAACTCTCTGATTGGGGAGTAGCAAACCCTTACCCAGAGAGGCCACAGTCCTATAATTTTCCAGCATGACTTCCCAATGCAGCGCTTTTTGGGGAGGATCCAGATGAGACCTCTCCTCCTCAGAGAAATACACAGCCACCTCCTCGAAGGACACAAGACCCTCCTGAACAAGGAAAAAAAAGAACAGAACAGGCCCAGAAGGATTTGCAAGATCTGTCCTATTGTTTACAAATTCCCAAGGTAAAGATATGCACTAAGTTAAATGGCTCCGCTTGGTGGGATTCCAAGGTTTAGGACAGAAAATGGACAGAGCCAAAAGCCTTTGACTGAAGAAATATTTCAGGCAGGTTTGATCAACTTGATTGATTCTGCAGGATTTTCAGTGCCATTCAGTGAAAGTAAACCCAGTTTCCTTCTGGATTGATTGATCTATCTATTATCTCTCTCTATCATCTATCTATCTATCTCTCCATCTATCTACCATCCATCCATCCATTATCAAAAGGCTCTCACCCACTTGAGAGAATCAACTGACAGATGGGCCTTGGAAACACCACCTATTAGTGACTCCAATCTTTCCTGTGATTGCAGAAGGAAATGGAGCGGGGGATTCCCATGCTCAAGACCTTCATGAAAGTGTTGGGAGAGTTCAGCCAAGAATTTGGGTGGGGGGGACATCAATATCCAGGGACACACAACTCAGTTTCTGTTCCTCCTCATATTAGCTGAACATTCCTCACATTAGCTGAACTGTTCCTCCTCATTAGCTGAACAGGAGATAAGAAAGTGTAGAAAAATTTCTGAGAAGGGCACTTCTCAGCCTTTGCAAAGCTGAATTGTTTGCCCTCCAAATCCAGGCACAAATCAGAGGATTAGAAATTACTTTGCAAGCCAAAAGTGCCTTGATTACGTGCTCTTTCAGAGCAATTTTTACTTAGAGACTTTTCTATCCGGCCGCTTTCATGGGATTTTAATAGTCTGCCTTTTTAATCTGATGCACTTTTTTTCTTATCACTGGTTGCGAACAAGGCTTTTTAAAAATGGTAATGTGCCAGTGTGAGTATTTAGTTATTTTTGAGCAGTCTTGCCCAATTCCAAGTCTAAGAATTACAAAAAGAATAGATCTCAGTTGCTAGCACTGTGATAATGTTATTCCTACCTTTTGAAGGACTATTTAAAAAATCAGTTATTGTTCGCTAATAGTAAGAACAGTAACTAGCACAAAGACAGTTAAGTACTAGTTTTTTAAAAAAAGATTTCCCAATAAGAATCTCAGGGTAGAAATTTCAAACTATTGTATCCCAACTTCAGAGGAGGCTAAGCTGACTGAGAGCAACTTGAACCTTCTATTCTCCATTCCAAAATTGGGGAACACAAAAATAATCGAGGCCAAACAAAAAAGAAAAAAGGAAGGAGAGAGTGCTATGTACACCAGCTTGACTTCTTGAAGGAAAAGGAGACTAATAAATAAATTTCCTCCTCTTACTTGAGTTAGAGGTTCAACTACTGTTTCAGCTGTACCATAAGGAGGAGTCAACTTCATTGTATTCTTCCCTGTGAGGGAGACAAAATTTTAAAATATATCATTAATAAAATAGGAAGAAGTATTATACAGATAAGAAGACATAGAGAAGATGAGACAGCTGGGATCTATCTGGGGAATGGGAGGACCCTCGATTACCTCCTGAGGTGTCCTGACTCAGATCTTCCTGAGAGATCCTCCTGAAGAACAGCTCCTGAGGGGGATTTGAAGGATTCCTCCTTCCCTCAGGATCTCTGATGTCCACAGCGAAGGACTTGAAATAGGAGGCAGGAGAAAAGAAAAAGAATTAATGGACATCACACAACATGAAGTGGATTCTTGTTCTCTGAACACAACTTCAAAGCCCTCAATGTCCGTCAGTGAGGCTGGAAAGTAAGAAAGGAACGGCGGTCCCAAATCTGTCTTCTAGAAAGGATAACAAAACAACGTCCAACAAGAATTAGTGAAACATCTCCACAAATTATGAATTCCAGAGAACTCTGGTAGGCATGGGTTAAGAATTCAAACACATTGTTTATTCCATTCAAACCCCTTCTGAGCTCTCAAGATGAAGGACTCTCACCTTCAACTTGACCTGCTCCTACTGCTCCTCCGCCTGGCTCAGGAGGAAGCCTTCCACCAGGGCCACTGCCTGGGAGGTGGTCTCTGCTCCACACTCCTGCACCCAGCTCTCCATCTGCAAGGGCAGAAGGGCCAGGAACTGCTCCAGAACAACCATGTCAAGCAGCTGTGCTTTTGTGTGTTTTTCTGGTCTCAACCATCGATCACAAAAGTAGTGGAGACGGCTACAAAGTCCTCGGGGACCCTCAGCCTCCTGGTATTGGATGCTCCTGAAGTTCTGTGGCTGAACTTCTGAATGGATGGTTTCCTCCTCCAGGATCTTCTGCCCACTTCTTGCCCAGGTCTCCCCACACCTGCCAGGCTGAACAGCAGAAGGGCCTTCTCCAGTCCCCTCACTTGCTAAAGGTTGTGTCTCCATTCTTTCTCT